TGAAACCATGCGCCCTAAACATCAGAGGATTCGGGGCTTTGGTGAGGCAGGGTAAAGGAGGTACTGGGCCTGGTAGATTCTTTTTAGGGTGCCCAGATCTTGGCTACCGCCCCGCCCTGGCAGAGCTGGGGGACGCCCCCGGGGCCCCGCCCCCGGGCCGCCGCCGCCACCCTTCATTGGCCCAAATTTCAGACGCATGGCGCGTCCCGCCCTAGTCCCCGCCCCCTGCTCAGCCGTCCTTCCGCCCGCGTTCCTCCTCAACCATTGGCTTGGCAGGCTCTCGGGGACGAGAGCGGCCGGCTGAGCCCCCGCCAGCTTCCGCACCGCCATTGGCCGTGCTGCGCCCACGCTCGTGTTCTGATTAGACAACAGGCGCGCCGGGGCCCGCCTCTCGCGCCCGAGTTCCGTTAGCAGGTTCGGTTGCTTCCCAATCCCTTTCACCCGGGGGTGGGGCCAGTAGGAAAACCCTTTTCCTGGCTCCTCCCCCTGCACGCAGCAGTTACATACCTGCTGGGAGGGGCGGAGAGGACAGCGGCGGCGCTTCCCCTGCCCCATTTTTTTTTTTTTTTTTTTGGAGAGGTCTACTTTCTTATGATTGGTTGACAGGCCATACTCTCCCCGCCCCACCGGTTGCTCGTTTTCCGTTGCGAGACGCAGCGTGATGACGCAGGCACCTCGACATTCCGTGTTCAAGATGGCCGCAGTCGGGAAGGAGAGGCGTCTCTAAGGGGCTTACCTGAGGCAAAGGGTAAGTGAGGGGGGGTCCGGCAAACCACGCCGCCCACCTCCCCCGGATTCGGAGGTCGGAGTAGGGCCTGTCCACCGTGTCCACTCGCTGGCTAAGTTTCTTCCGAGATCCTGCCTCCCGTCGCTACCGCCAGGGCTACAGGTTGAAGCTAGCGGGCGACCCGGGAGTTAGGGGCGGGCTTCGAGAGGTGAGCTTCGCGCAGGCAAGCTAGGCGGACTTTGGGGCAAAGCACCCCCCACCAGCCGAGAGGGGCTTCGGGGCTCGGGACCCTCTAGCCAGGGACGAGGAGGGGCAGGGGACTTGGGCGCGCGCTTTGGCCGCCCGGCGCCGACTGCCTTCATCCCGGTTTCCCCCGAAGGGGGGTCGCTCCCTGTTGGGCCCGAGACTCGGGTTGCCTGGTTGTCTGGGGGCACTCTGGCTGTGGAGTCTCTCGGGTCGTGTAACAAAGGGGAGCTAGGTTGGAGCACCCCATGTCCGTAGTTAGATGCCGTCCTTACCGCGCAGTTCCGCCGTTGGGGTGTTCGGGGAGGTTCGATTGGACTGAGCTTGGTTTGAGACGAGCGGAACCCTCCCTTGAAAGTCGGGGTGAAACTCCAGGGTTGATCCGGGCGCGCTCGAACTGTTTGTTACCTCCCCCAAAGCGGGGATAGAAACGGCGCTTCCTAAATTTGGATCGCCGTTAAACGGAGCTCTCGCCAAGCCACCGTGCGTTCGAAACGACTTCTCAGAGGGTGGCCTTCTGTGGTTTTCAGGCTAAGTTGGTCGTGGGTGTGTATGTCCTTCTGTCCACATCGCCCTGTAGAGGAGCTTGTCGCAGAGCCTGACCGTTGTAGGTGCCCGTTAGAGGCTTGTGTGACAGATACTGGAGTGAAGACTCTAAGGGGAGGGAATTTTTCTTTATTTTGCCTCTTTTCTTCACCCCCCCCACCCCCCGCACCTGAAACAGTGCCGAATTTAGGTGGGTGGGCGGTGGCAATAGTGGTGGTACTGAAACACGTTTTGCTTTAAAATACTTAGGATGCTTGCCTGTCCAGTAACCTTGAATATTAATGTAATAATTGTCCCAGATTGTTTTCTTCTCTACTTTTAGTGTCTAATGTTAGGGCTTGGACATTAGTTTGCTTTTACCCTTTTGCCTAGTTTGGGTTATATGGTGATGTGTAAGTCAAAGGGGAGGAAAAAAGGAGGCTTCCACCCCCATGACGAGAGTCTCGGAAGCCCACAGGGGCAGTTCTGCCCTGTCTGATAGATCTCTGTGAATTGGACTCAGCTGGATGACAATGAGTAGGTGTGATTCAAACACATTCCTCGATTCTTGCACTCACGATGTTGACTATCTGTTGCACTTTGAAAATGCAGCTTACACCACAAGCAATAAAGAAACATTTTCATTTGCGAATGAAGCACTCAAATATTAAATGCCATTTCTGGAATAGAATATGATTTTCTTTTTAAGGTCACCATATTGACCCGTAAGATGGGCTTTTCACCTCAGGAGATTATGTCTGAGAGTAGTGTGTGCCTGGAGGAAGAATAATTTGTTCTGCTATTTTCTCCAACAGGAGGTAGAACAAGCAGAATTAAGAGAAATCAGAGACTTGTCTAATTGGGTTAAATGAGACTCACATAAATTAGATACCAGAGTTCTTGCAGGTAATATTGGGAAAAATCAATATTCAGAGTTTGGGAGGAATCCTAAAGGTATAGATAATAATAGGTATAGCTAAAAGTTAGCAAAAAACAAGCCAAACTCGCTGCCATCTAATCAATGCAAATTCAGAGCAACCCTGTGGACAGGTAGAATGATGAGTTTTTGAGACTGTAACTTTTTACTAGAATAGAAAGCCCCATCTTTCTCCTTCGAAGCAGCTGGTGGTTTGAACTGCTGACCTTGCCTTAGCAGCCCAATGCATAACCACTATGCCACCAGAGTTCCTCGTAATAGAAAATTGGGTACTGGTAAATAACAGTTTTCACAAAAAAGCAAATAGATGGTATTGGATGCTAGGCTTTATTAAAAATCTTGTTTAACTTCCTATGTGGAAAGCAAAGAGAGAGGCTTGACAGGAGACCTGGTCTCCTCGAGCCAGCAGTGAATCACTAAGGAAAAAACAGATTACACAAATCCCATTTCCTGTGTTGAACTCACTGGACTGGTGTGATTGCAGGCCATGAATCCAGTTAGGTTTCATGGAACAGAATCTCCCTCCTAGGAGGCCCAAGAGTAATGTACATTGGAACAGGGCTTGAGTATTGCCCTTTCTCTGGTTACCCCTTTCTATTAAGTTTTTAAGAATTCAGAACAGACTTATTTCTCAAACTAGTGAGCATTCTCAGAACATGTCTTGCTCACTGGCACCTTCGAGGACAGTTGGGATGCAAAGAATTCACCCAGAGTTGAAACAGTGAGCTAAAAATGCAAAGACTTACCTTTTTCATGGGTGTGAAATTTATCAAACTCACTGGTGTGGGTCGGAGTTGAAGACCCAACTTGACAGAAAATGGTTCTGGGTCCTTTAAACGAAGTGTGGCGTGTCCAGATTGATGGGCTATGTGACTCACTTTACATCTCTGCTCAGTGGTAAATTCTGAGGATAAGAATGCTTAACTTTCAGGGACGTTTTGACATGGGCACACAATGAATGTTGCTGAGTGTTGGAGATATCGTCTCTTCCCTTGGACCAATCCTAACTCACTGCCACCAAGTTGATTTTGCCTCACACGACTCTGTAGAAAAGGATAGAATTGCCCCTGTGAGTTTGAGTCTTTTTTCAGTAGAAAGCCCTGTCTTTCTCTCATGGAGTGAGCATCTGGTGGTTTCAAACTATTGACCTTGTAGCTAGCAGTCCATTGTGTAACCACTACACCACCAGGGCTCCTTGTTCCCATGTATGGAGAGGATCATACCAAGAGTACTGTTTCCATTTTGACTGCTGTTTAAGACGAGCCTGAAATACTAAAAATCATGTTTAAGAAAAGGGTGCTGTTTACCCTAGAATAGAAGAGATACCATGAAAGAGAGTATAAAAGGTATCAGCTCTCATTTGTAGGGCAATTAATAGGTAAGCAGTGTATTTTTGCAACGTATAGACTCCGAGAGTTGCAGAGTTGTGGGAAGGTAGACTTCACTCACTGTTCAGTGTATGTACCAGCTCTGGGCCCCAAGCAGAGCACATGACAGCTGAACTGAACAAGTGATATTAGTACAATACTAATACAAGAATTCACATCAACACCCCTTATTAATGCCATAGGCTACTTTGTCGACTAATAATGCCCCACTACTGGAAGTAGAAAAGCCCTGCTACTTAGTGGTTCAGCATTGACAACTCACCAAAAGGTCATGGGTTTGAACCCACCAACTGGTCCACAGGAAAAAAGCTGTGACACAGTCAGCTTAGGGACCCCAGTCTTAGTCCGTACCCCCACTCCCTGTGGGACAGTTCTCCGCTATCCCCTAGGGACCCTGAGTTCTGGGTGACTCCAATGAGGGTGATTAAGGATAGTGAGTACATGACCTTGTTGTTGAGAAGGGATTTCCATACTGAGAGACTGGAGATTACCTCTCTAAGAGGCTACTTGTCTTTCCTACAGTGTGAGTTGATCATCTTAAATGCTGAAACCCATTTACTCGTGTAAAATGGTGTATCTAAGACCTGCTTCTAGTTTAGAGAGGGGTTGTCATCATGCACAGCTCCAAGTCTCTGTCATCTTCACAGTCCTCATGAGCTACTGGTAAGAAACTGTCTTGGGGTGGGTGGGGGATAAAGAAAGTAGGAAGGAACTGGATGGTAGAACTGAGGTGAGAACTTTCTCAGGGAGTTAGTGAGTTTGAGGACTGCTTCTCTTCTATGAATGTACAGTTATCTTCATTGCATGTCATGTATGGTCATTCTGCTCCCAAGGCTGAAGACATTGGACTGGCCAGTGCCAGCCAGGTAAAGCAGGCATGACTTGGACTGTGCCAACTCTTCCTCCTTCATTGCTTCTGAGCTGTTCCTAATCCTTTTCCCACTTGCAGCTGAGAGAGTGGAGGCGCTCGTTCTTGAGTTATTGTCTCTCTCTCAGGCTTCTTTCTGCTTATCTTCCTTCAACTTCTCCTTCCCAGGGCTCTGTCTCAGCTCCCCCTCCCCCCCCCCACACACACACACACAAATGATTGAGCTTTTTACCCGGCTGCCCCTCTAAACATGTTCTTCCATTTACTGAGGAGTGAAGTATTTATACTTCACGTATTGTGCCAGCCGCCTATTTAAAGTGTGCTCTTCCTGCAGGCGGCTCGTGGTTCTGTCCCCTGCCTGTCCCTCCATAGATTTCAGCTGTCATCTCTGCTTTCAAGTCAGTTTCTACTTAGAGTGACTCAAGGAACGCTGTCCGATCCTGCACCATTCTCACGTTTATTGCTGTGTGCCCACAGTGTTGGAGCCGCTGTGTCATTCCATGTAGTTGAGAGTCTTCTTTTGTACTGAGCCTCTGCTTTTCCAGGTCTGATGCCCTTCTCCAGGGGCTGGTCCCTCCTGATAATGTGTCCAAGTGTCCTCGCCGTCGCTTCTAAGGAGTATCTTAGCTATACTAATTATAAGATGGCTTTGGTCCTCCTTCTGCAGTCCATGATCCTTTCCATTGTCTCCCAGATGCACACGTTTTCCTCACTCTGCAAAGGCATATGTTGTCTGCCAGTGAATACCCCTGCAAGTGTCTCACCGGGTCTCCAGGCCTTCACCCAGTTCTTCTTGCCCTCACCATGCACACAAGCATTTTCTCGTCTTGTCCATCTTTCATTTCAGTCTCTCACTTCTCTGCCCTTCACACGTGAAATCATCTTTATCACTCCGCCTCCCTGCCACTGACACCCCTTTCCCCACAACCATTGTCCAGTCTCAGGCCCAGGCCCTGGCCCCATGTGGCCTGAGCAGTTGCTACAGCTTCCTTCCTAGCTGTTCTTGAGTCAGCACAATGTCCTCTGCTGCCTTCTCTGCCACCTGAGGAGCCACGCTGCCTTCTTTGCCCTGCACGAGCTTCATGGTTGACCAGGGCACTTGGGCGTTTCTGACTCTGTCTTTTACTGCAGGAAGGGGTGGGGACCTGGTGTGTCTCATGTACCCTCCCAGCTATGTCATTGAGGCCTGGCTCCTAGTGTATGCTCAGTAAATATTTGAATAGGTAATTTCGTGGAGAAGAGGTAGGTTAACACATCTTGGACATTCTGACTGGTGTACCATGAGTAAGTCACAGATGTGCTCGGGCCGGCTGGCCTGTCGTCTGCTCTGCAAAAATGCCCAGGAGTGTGTATTGTTCTGATTAGTCATCCAAGCCAGAAACCTTTCCAGTGCCCGTCCACAGTAGGGGGTGAGGCGGGGGTGTTGCTGTTAGATGGTGTCCCGTCGGTTCTGACTCATAGTGACCCTTTGTGCAACACAACGGAACACTGCCCAATTTGATGTTGGAGGCCATTGTTGCAGCTACTGTGCCCATCCATCTCCTTGAGGACCTTCCTCTTTCGCTTTACCAAGCATGAGGTCTCTCCTGATAACACGTTCAAAGTACATGACCAAGTACTTTGAGACCAAGTCTTACCCTCCTGGCTTCCAGGGTGCACTCAGGCTGTACTTCTCCCAAGATATGTCTGTTTGCTCTCCTGGCTACCTGGATAGACTGTTCTCTGCCGAGGTGGGTCACGTTCCTCGCTGCTGACATTTGATATTTGATGTGGACAGTGCTTTGTTGTGGGGGCCTGTCTTCTACACTAGGGAGCCCTAGCCGTGCACTGGAGCCGTCGTGGTACCGCAGGATCCGAATTGGGCTGCTAACCTCAAGGCCAGCTGTTTGAACCCACTAAGCTGCCCCTCAGGAGAAAGATGAGGCTTCCTGCTCCCATGAAGATTTTCCATCTCAGAAACCCTGTATAAGTCCTGGGAGTCACATGGACTTGATGGCAGAGGGAGGGGGCACACTGGTTAAGCACTCAGCTTAAGGCCCACCATCCCTTCCTCAGGAGAAAGACTTAGCCATCTCTCTGCAACGGTTACTCAATGCCACTGAGGAGATGATAAAGCCACCTCTTAGAGCCATCTGATAGAGTGTTCCTCCTTTCGGCTACCACCCCAGCGCATAGCCTAACCCGCTGCCGCACCACCAGCTCCTGCCACCTTGACCCCTACTGACTGTTTGGCTCCGCACTCCAGACACGCAGCAGAAACTGCATTTCCATACCCTGAATCAGACTCGCAGTTTAACAGGGTCAAGTTGTGTTTCTGGAAGGATCCCTGGGGTGTGAGAGCTGTTGGTTCTGGTTCACTGGGTCTCGGTGGAAGGATAAATCCTCTGCTTGGGGCTAGGCTGGGGCCTTGTAGAGACCCTGGGGGCCATCTTCTGTGACCTGGGGATCGGTCAGGGGCAGTTTAGCAGCTTTGGACCATGGCTGGACAGTTCCTGTACATTGTAGACTGTTTACCAGCGTTCCTGACCTCTACCACTGCATACAGTCACATGCCTCCATGCATTGCTAGATGTCCTCTGGGTTGTGTGATTGCCCTGCCCTCCCTAATCCCCCGCCTGCACGACCAGCCACTGAAGGCTGCTGCTGCTACAAGGCAGCGAGAAGGCACCAATGCCACTGCCTCCTGACATCATCCGAGAGGGCCCTCTCCTACATAAGCAGAGGGAGCCAGATACAAACCATTTGGACCATCGACCTAGAACCCCCTCCCAGGGGGACGAACAACAGAAAAGTGGATGATGAAGGGAGACAGCAGGCGGTGTAAGACATGAAAAAAATAATAATTTATAAATTATCGGGGGTGGGGGGGGGGTGGGGGGGCGGAGGAGCTGATACCAAGGACTCAAGTAGAAAGAAAATGTTTTGAAAATAATGATGGCAACACGATGGATGGATGGATTGTGTTAAGAGCTGTAAGAGCCCCCAATAAAAATGATTTTAAAAAAACATTTGGTACTATAATGTTTTACAACCTTCAAAAACAGGCCAACAGATTGATGGCACTGGAGGTCACACTGTGGTCGGGAGAGGCACAGGGAACGCTGGGGCAGGTGGCAGGATTCCCTGTCTAGCTCTCAGTGGTGGCACACAGAGAACAGGTTCCGTGGCCAGCGGTCCAGTCCAGAAATGATTGCTCTGCAGGACAGTCCAGTCAGTGCTGGATCTCTCCCCAAAAGACAGGACCCTGAAAACACCACAGGGTGACTCCGCTCTCCTCTCTTCACTCTGCACAGTGTGGGTCAAGGCAGAGAAAAATTTGAAACCCACGGCCCTCCCGTGAGGGAAATAAGCACTCCTTGGCCATTAAGGGGCCCCGCACCTAAATGTGCTCAGGAAATAACGTCGTCCAGTCTGCTGTATAGCCGGAAGAAAACTAATAGTGACCGTCAAACATTCGCCAATGGTACAGGCCATATTAGGATACCCCTAATTATTCCAAATTTCTTTCCGAGCTGTTTTCAGAAGCAGGAACCAGTCAAGGTTCACGTGCTGCTCTGTAATCACAACGAGGTCCTCCCACCCTCTTCTGCCCCCAGAGTTCCGTGGCCGGGTGCTGGTTTCCTGGGGCATCTCTGATTGAGGCAGACACCTGGCCGGACCTCAGCTTTCCTAGTGCTGGCTTTGATGACGTGGTTACAGCACATGGTTACTTCTGCAGCTCTTTCTGCTTCTTGCTTCAGACTTATGGGTAGTGGACCCGCTTTTTTACCCCGTCACAGGCAGGTTTCTCTGTGATGCTCAAACAGCCAGAGGTCACCTGGTGGGCAGCTGGCATGCTAGCTTAGCTGTGCACATGTGGTCTGAGCACACCCAGGAAGGCCCCCTCCCGTGCCATCACGGATTGTTTGTAGGCACCCTGTTCCCTTTAGGAGGCAGTGGGGTGGAGAAACAGAGGTATGGGTGCTAGGTGGGTCCTTATCCTCGGGGCATCGTTGCATCAGACTGCAGCTGTGAGTGAGATTGTCTGCTTCTCCTGGCCTTGACAGCTGAGAAGAGAGCATCAAACTTTTGCGTTTTGATAGTGCAGTGCCTAAAATGCTCGCCTAAAGGTCAGCAGTTTGAACCCACCAGCGCTCTGAGGGAGAAAGATGTGGCCGTCCGCTTCCACAAAGACAGCAGCCTTGGAACCCCTAGCGGGCAGGCCTCCAGGCCCCACGCATTGCAGTGAGTTGGAATCAGCATGGGGCTAATGGGTGGGCTTGGATTTGGGAGGTAGCACCTAGGTTTTACTGAAGAATCCAACTGACCTGAGGAGGAGGGCCCTGCCTGTGAAACGAATGACCAAGGGGACAGTGCACATGTGCGGTCTCTGCCCTGCTCCAAAGACCCTGAAAGGACGGGGGGTGGCCTTGGTGCAAGGTGCTAGGGTGTAGGGCTTGGGCAGTGGCGTGGGGCAGGTGCTGTTGCCCTGGGCAACATTGGTCCAGAATAGACTCATCTGGCCACCTTGTTCAGCTTGGTTTCTATTTTTCTCTCTCAGGAGACTCGCATTTCCAGAGAGCTGTTTGGAAAGAACGTATCTACCTCAATAAATGAAGGAGAATAAAGAAAATTCAAGTCCTTCAGTGACCTCAGCCAACCTGGACCACACAAAGCCATGCTGGTACTGGGATAAGAAAGACTTGGCTCACACGCCCTCACAGCTTGAAGGACTGGACCCAGCCACCGAGGCCCGGTACCGCCGGGAAGGGGCGCGGTTCATCTTTGATGTGGGCACACGCCTGGGACTGTATCCTCACCCTCATGGAACCTCTGCTGGCCGAGCGAATGTAGCCCCTCTAGGCAGTGTCTGCCCTCCCACCAGAGAGCAGTGCGATTTCCGCGTGGCTGGCCTCTGGGGGTTGCCCGTTGTCTGGTTACCCATTGTCAGAACAGGGAGACTTGGCCATGAGGACAGGGCCCACCCCAGAGGAGAACCAGCGCCTGCTTCCACCCGGGAGGGGGGTGGGGGGCTGTGGAAGGCTGGGCAGCCTTGTCCCAATACCTAGCACAGCAGCCTGCAGGTCCCAGGCCCCTGGCAGTTGGGTGGCTCTCATTGGTCTGTGATGGGCGTCCACATTTGATTGAGAACATGGCCCACAAAGCATCTTGGTTGAAGTCCTTAACCAGAACCACAGGCACTATGATACCCTGGCCACTGGAATCATTTATTTCCACCGCTTCTACATGTTCCATTCCTTCAAGCAGTTCCCGAGATACGTAAGTGTTGCACAGGCGCGATCATTCTCTTCCGCTGTTTGCGTCCACACACACTGCCCCAGGGGGTGTGGGGGGACAGCAGGGAGTCTCTGTTGATACCCTCTCCAGAGGGTGTTTTCTAGGATCGGGTCCACGCTTCGTTGTGGGTTTGGGTTTTCATTTTGGCTGAGACAGACCAGGGCGGTAAACACTGACTTCCTTGTGGCCTTTCCCAGGACAAACTTGGGCTCAGGCCCAAGGCTGGAGAAAGGTTGGCAAGGCGTGCTCCCGGCCGGCCGGGCACTCTGCAGTGACCTCGGGAGTGGGCACTAGCAGACAGACACCTGCTGTCCCTTCCCTGTGGCAGGTCTTTCTTTGCTCCCAGCAGATCCAGGGGAGCCTTTCCTTGTGTCACTTGGTCCCTGATGGGTATTGAACCCAGGGTCAAAAGGGAGGCCCTGGTAGCAGGGTGGTTGGAGGAGGGGCACATTCCATGTCTCAGGAACCCAGGGAAGCTCTAGGAAGGAGGGCCTGGGCCTTGAAAGGGGACGGGGAGGCTGGCAGAGCTGCTATGGGGTAGGGCACCAGACCAGCCAGCAGCCTGTCCTTGAGCCCGTTGGTTCAGCAGGGAGTGTGCTGGCCCCAGAGAAGAGGGTGGACAGGGAGGTGTTGGAGGGGATGGGGAAGAAGCAGAATGAACTGAACAGGAAGGTGCTCCTTTTCCTTTCCTCAGACTTTCGTCGCAGGGTGGGATGCTGACTTTGCCAGCTTGTGAGGACCTTGGGGGGGTGGGGGGGGTGGCGCACACATCAGAGGTGGTCATGGCACAACGTTGGGGGTGGAGGCTGCTGGGGGGGCAGGGTGCGGGGTGCACAGCTGTGCCGGGGCAGGAGCAGCAAGAAAGCCAGGCCAGATGGACTGCACTGTGAGGGGCTAAGTGCCCGTGTCCCCAGGCTTTAGTTTGGACCTTCCAGTGGCAGGGCCGTGCCCTTTAGCGAAGGCTCTTGCTTTTCATGACTCTTCACTTTTGTTTTCTGATATTTTCTTGAATAAGTCAAATTTATAAAATGGGTGTTAGCTTTCCTGCGAGCTTCTAGAGCATTCCCTTCCTTGTTGGGAGTGGAGACCCGGATGCAGGGGAGTGTGTGGGCTGCAGGCTGGGCAGGGTCTGTGGCCCCGGTGACAGTGCTGCTCTCTTCTAGGTCACGGGGGCCTGCTGTCTCTTTCTGGCAGGGAAAGTCGAAGAAACACCCAAAAAATGTAAAGATATCATCAAAACAGCTCGTAGCTTGTTAAATGATGTCCAGTTCGGCCAGTTTGGAGATGACCCAAAGGTAAGAAGCACACCCTCAGCATCCAGCCTTGGGGCAGCATTAGTGCTCAAGGCTGCCAGCCTCTGTCACCCATGTGGGTCTGCTAACCACAAGATCAGTGGTTCAATGCCACCAGCTGCTCCAATGGAGAAAAATGAGGCCTTATGTTCCCATGAAGAGTTACAGCCTCAGGAACACAAGAGAGCAGCACTGCTTTGTTCTGGAGAGGAGTGGGGAGTCGTCTCTGAGTTGGAGTGGATGTGATGGCTGTGGGTGGGGCTTCGATGCTGTGGCCGGGCAGAGGTGGAGCAAGCAGGAGACACGACCGACTGGGGAAAAGGCTGGGGCCCAGTTCAGACAGTGCTGGCAGAAGCAGGCAAGCTCAGCAGCATTGAAGGGCATGTTCCTCTGTCTGACTTGGGCTGCCGCCCCCCAGGTTGCCCTTCTCTGCCGGGCTGCAGGCCATGAACATGGGCATGTTCACTAGGAGGCCTGAGCAGGGCCCTGGCGTGGTCTGCATGTGAAAAGGTTGGATTCATGCTGAAACTTCTGTGTTGTTCCTCTGAGCAAACCCAGCCCTAGCACTGGATAGTAAGCCCTGATGTCCCCGTCCCCCAACTTATAAAACTCTCCTAGCAGTTCGTACTCAGAAAGATCAAGTGCACAGCCTTCGGAGAGTGCAGAGCACGTGGGGAGGTCCCCTTGAAGAGCTGCGCTGTGGCAGCCCAGACCTGACTCCCTGTATATAGATGTCGTCAGCTCAGAGCCAGGACCATCCCCAGACGGTGCTGTAGGAGTGGGTGGGGGCTCTGCAGCCACCCCACACCCTCTGTCTGTGCCCCCTAGATCCTGGGGTGGGGTGGGGATGTCATGAAGCTGTGCCTCCGGCTACAGAGAGAGGGACAGCGTTTGGGAGCTGTGAGTGTGGGGCCCAGGCCTGAGACGGGCTGAGCTGCAGCCCCTTGTTAGGTCTCCCCCAGCTGGGGATCCTGTGGTGGTTATTTTCATTGCCCCAGCGGTAGTCGGTCATGCATGCAATTCAAGACACTTGTTCCCGCCATGGTGTTGTCACTTGGCCTGCTCTTGCCTGTCAGGATGCAGGGGGAGGGGGGCAGGAAAAAATGTCGAGACTGTTTCCAAAGGACTGAGTCCCTCAGTGTGCCCTCACAGGTGCCCACGCCTCCCTGTGCTGCCCTCTGCCCTCCCTCCTTTCCGGACTGAGCTCTGCCCTTAGTCAGTGCTGCCCCATCAGTAGCAGTGGTCGATGCCCTCACAGGGGAGGGAGTTCTCCAGACCTGAAGGGTGCCAGGGCCCCCTTGTTCTTGGGTTCTACCAGTCTAGCTGGCCAGTAAGTCTCATCAGATTGGATTTGTTTAATGGAGGCCCAAGCAGAGCTGCCTTTTAGTTGACATGACCATTGATTCCGTCTAAGGGACAAACACCCGGCACATCTACACGTATGGGTTTGTGTCCATATTTGACAGGACGGCTGGCTTTGCCAGCTTCATTCTCTTCTGTTCTGCTCAAGAACAGGCTGGGCTCAGAGCAGGAGGATCACCTGCAGGGAGCCCAGTCGGCTGAGCTGGCAGCTAGATGCAGAGAGAGCGCCTGCAGAGAGCCTGGGCAGACAGGCTGCGTGAGGCCTGTGGCAGTCCTGGGGCCCACTGCATGGACTTGTTTTCAGGAGGAGGTCATGGTCCTGGAGAGGATCCTGCTGCAGACCATCAAGTTCGACCTGCAGGTGGAGCACCCCTACCAGTTCCTGCTCAAGTACGCGAAGCAGCTCAAAGGTCAGGCCCTCAGGCCCTCCTGGTGACTCGTTCTTGGAGGCTCTCGGAGGCGGGGAAGGCCTTGCAGGAGGGAAGCAGAGGCTCAGGCACAGCACCACACATCCCCCGCCTTCCTGCTGCTGCCTTTGTGCACAGACAATCCCGGCCCTCTGCTGCTGGGGGACAGGAGGCGATGGGGATGAGTCAGGACTTTTAAATAGTCTAATAAAATTAGCCTGGGAGCCTGGTTTCCTGAGAGCGGTGGCTCAGCGGGATCAGCTGGAGAGGGAGGACCAAGAGAGGGCACGGGGGACCCCAGGCCTGTGGGCCACTGCCCCCCCCCACCCCCCGCCAAGCTGGATGGTGAATAGCTGACAGGGCACCTGATGCCTCAGAATGAGCGCTCAGCTCCTCTCAGCTTGTGTCACTACTAACTTACATTTTTCCACATTTGTAGGTGACAAAAACAAAATCCAAAAGCTGGTTCAAATGGCATGGACGTTTGTGAATGACAGGTACACTTGCTAACGTGTCTTCAGTGAGGCCGAGGTTTTATTGGTGGCATATCTGAACCCCTTAGCTTGCAGGCGAGGAGATGGGTGTTGGGGTGGCATGCCTCAACAGGGCCAACAGATGGGGGCGCTGAGAGGCTGGTGTGGAATTGCCCTTGGAACATTCAGAGGCTGGTCAGCCTGGACCCTCACCTGCTTGTGTGGGCAGAGAGCTCAGGGGCCGGTGGGCTGGGAAGGGCTCCACCTGACTCTCAGGACAGTATCGAATGACTGCTGGGCTGCCTCCTAGTCACTAGAGAGCAGGCCGGCGCCAGCTACCGAGGCGCTCAGGATGCTGAGTTGGCACTGCTCGGCTCTTGCTCAGAGGAAAGGAAAGGAAGCGGGTCCCCCGGGCAGGTGCCGGCTCCCTGCCCCTCAGTGACCTCTCTCTCCTGGGCAGCCTGTGCACCACCTTGTCGCTGCAGTGGGAGCCAGAGATCATCGCGGTGGCAGTGATGTACTTGGCAGGCCGCTTGTGCAAATTTGAGATCCAGGAGTGGACCTCCAGACCCGTGTACAGGAGATGGTGGGAACAGTTCGTTCATGATGTACCCGTGGATGTTTTGGAAGGTACGGTGGCACTGTAGGTTAGACGTCAGTCAGGGTCAGTAGTTTAGTCTCCCTAGCCTCTCTGAGTACCAGTTCAGGCTGTCTGCTCCCTTCACGAAGACCCCGTGGCTCACCAGGAGCTGAGTCAGCGTGAAGGCAGTGGGTTTGGGGTTGGGCTAGCTGGGTTCTGCATGGGACATTCCTTGTGCACTTTGGGTGCACAAGGGGTCCCCCAGGGGCTGTGCCCTAGTTGTCATCTTGAACTGCACATCCCAGCATTGGTGCCCATGCCCACAGTCGGGGGTGGGGGTGTGTGTTCCAGTTATGCAGAAGGGGCTGTGCAGCTGGTACTTGGAGCCTCTGCCTACTTGCCCCCCAGAATGGTGGCCTCAAACCCAGTGGGTGGTTTTCTGGAAGAGGTTTCATTTAAAGTGTCTGGTGGGGGTGACTGTCCTCTTCACTGCCCGCCCTACAGACATCTGCCACCAGATCCTGGACCTGTACTCCCAAGGGAAGCAGCAGATGCCTCATCACACCCCCCACCAGCTGCAGCAGCCTCCCTCCCTGCAACCTGCCCCACAAGTGCCCCAAGTGCAGCCACCCCCGCCGCCTCAAGGCCCCGACCCACCCCAGCCCCCGCCAAAGGACTGCCCACCAGCCATCCAGCAGCCCCGGAAACCATCTCCACAACCCAGCCCGCCCAGACAGGTCAAGCGCGCTGTGGTGAGTGGACAGGCTCTTGGGACCAGGGGCTTTAGCTGCTACATCAAGTCTGAGGACTGGGCCCACGGGGCAAGGGGGGGGTCCCTCATAGCCTGGGGGCTGACCACCAGAGCGCTCCCTCGGAATCTCGGTTAACAGCCCTCCTTTGTTTTTGTGACAGGTGGTCTCCCCCAAAGAAGAGAGCAAAGCAGCAGGTAAGTCCGTGTCCCGGGGCGGTGTTTCCCTGACATCTGCCTGTGTGTCCCAAAGGGACTCTGGTGGCCCTTTGTAGTAGCTGCTCACCACAAGGTGAGAGGTTCAAGCCCACCAGCCGCTCCTCGGGAAAAAGATGAGGCCATCTGCTTCATAAGTTAGTCTCGGAAACCCACGGGGCAGCTCTACCCTGTCATCGACTCAAGGGAAGTGGGTGTGGTGTTTGGCTTTTATGTATGTCAAACTCTAGATCCCTCCTTCTCCAAGTGAGCAGCTGTAGCATTTCAATGTGGAATCCATCGGTTACTAACTTCTGGTCTAGCGCAGAGACAAACCCACATGCACCTACCCAAAACACAAACACAGGGTTCCTCTCTGCCTCCAGCTAGCATGGATTGCCTTCTCCCCCCTCCCCAGTGTGTGTGGGGTATCAACTCAGCAGGCATCAGGGACACTCAGAATGTGCTCCAAGGTGGTCAGCTAGAAAGCACTGTTGATGCTTCTGTTCTGATGGGGCTGTCCAAAAAACAGGGTTTGGAGGGGCCCTGCCGGGCTAGTGAAACTCAAGGCAGAGAGAGGTTAGCTCAGAAGCTTGTGGTAACTGTTGGGTGTCATCCTTCCTGCTAGGCTCTCAGGACACAGGGAGCCCGTGGGATCTTGTGTAAAGACAGTAGGAGGACGTGGGCAGCTGTGCTGCTCAGGCATGCGGAGCCAGGAAAGGTTTCCAGCCCAGCAGTGCTCCTGCCCTGCAAGCAGGCCCCGTCCATCCTGTGGGGGTGTCATGGGGAAGACTCACCCAGGTTTGGGAACAGGATGTACCCCGCTGAAGGTGGAGAGCTAGGCAGCAGCCTTCAGTGTGGGACTCGGGTTCACTAACCCTGCAGGTCAGCCTGTGCTTGGGGCGAGGATGTTGAGAGGCCGGGAACTGACTGTGCCCTTTCTTGGCCACCTTGAACAGAAGGTTCTGGGCTTCACAGAGCCCACCCACCCTGCTCACTGAGCACTGTTGTGTGCATGCTGGTTCCCCGAGATTGCTGCTCAGCCCTTGGAGGGGGTATCTCTTGGGGCCATCTCCTTCACCCCAAGTGCCCCCCCACCCCTTCTGAGCCTGCAGGCTGTTGTGTTCGCCTCACAGGGCTACCGGCAAGAAGCCCGTGTGGGGGGAGACGAGAGGTCACAGTGGCGCTGAGCCACCGGAGGTGGGGATGAGACCGAGGGCCCCACCTCTGGGGCCCTGGGTGCTGGGCCCTCGCCAGGATGCCATGGAAATGGCACTTGGTGACCATGCTGTTGTCCCTTCCAGAAGAGCTGGTTGGCAGCGGGTAGACGGGGGCAGTGTTGCTGTCAGAAGCCCACCTGCAGCCCCCTGGGCCCACAACATGGGGCTGCTGAGAACGCCATCCTTGAACTCCTCTGTCTCTAACACGTTCCTCCTTATAAGGAGGTCTGAGTGGTGTTTCATCGTCTTTCTTTCTTCCTAGAACCACCACCACCCAAAATCCCCAAATTGGAGGCCGCCCACCCACCATTGCCTCCAGCCCACCCACCTCCAGGTGAGTGTCTGCTGAGCCAGACCCCAAAGGGGGGGGACCCTGCCTCCGGTCCAAAGGGCTGCCGGGCCCCTCTTAATGAGACTGCGTCAACATAGGTAGAACGGACTCTAGTGACTGAGAACCTCTCAGAGTGGCTTCCATGTTACACACAGGCGTATACCATGCCAGGTGGGCATGCCAGGTCCCACAACCGTGTATGCTTCCTGAGCCCTCCCTTCTGGGCACTGAGCCAGCCCTGCTGCTGGCTAGCTTGCTTTCAGACTCCAGCTGCCTGGGGTCAGGCAGCCACCATCCCTGAGCTGGTGGAGACAAGTAACACACAGGATGGTCCCCACACCATGGGGCACAGAGGTAGATTGCGCATTCGAGAGCAGGCAGGAATTGGGTGTCACCTGGAGTGGCAGTCTGCTTCTCTCCCAGCTCAGGAGAAGCAGGCGACGTCCTCCACCAATGCTGGTGCGCTCCTCCCCACCCTAGCACCATGGGCCCCAGCCAGCAGCACACTGCCTGCATGCCAGGGAGGCCTCAGGGCAGCCCAGCCCACTGGGTGGCTGGTGGCCTGTGCTCTGAGAGCGCCCTCGAGAAGGAGACCCTGGGAGTGCGGGTCCCAGGGTTAAGTTCTAGACCAGGCTTAGTGTTGGGGGCCAGGGCAGGAAGTCACAAGCCTGCCCTCCCTGAGTAACAGCAGGGTTCAGATCAGCACAGCATAGTGGTGTGGGCTCCCAGCCATCCCTGTGTGGTGGGCCTGAGGCCCCTCTGGTTCTACCTGTTCTGAGCATGGCTAGCCTGCTGGGCCAGCCCTGGCTGAGCAGGCAGCACAGGCTAGAGGAAGCTCCAGAAAAGGGTGGGGAATTCCTAGGCCGTGCTGGCAGTCTCAGTGCCCATGCCCACCCTCTGAAAGTACTGACCAGATGCAGGGAAGGTGTTGGGGGCTGGGCAGTGCAGGGTGACAGTCGTGCTGGGGAGGGGAGAGCTCCATGATACATGGCGTCCTTGAGGGGTGGTGACCCTGGTAGCAGGGAGGAGTGTGGCCTGGGATGCTGACTGATGGATAAGCTTCTTCCTCTGCAGACCGGAAGCCCCCCTTGGCCGCTGCCCTGGGGGAGGCCGAGCCACCAGGCCCCGTGGACACCAGTGAACTCCCCAAAGTCCAGCTCCCCCCACCGGCCCACCCAGCACCTGTGCACCAGCCACCTCCGCTCCCACCCCGGCCTCCGCCGCCACCCCCCTCCAGCTACATGACTGGCATGTCGACCACCAGCTCCTACATGTCCGGTGAGGGCTACCAGAGCCTGCAGTCCATCATGAAGACCGAGGGTCCAGCCTACGGCGCCCTGCCTCCTGCATATGGCCCACCCACCCACCTGCCCTACCACCATGTCTACCCCCCTAACCCACCCCCTCCCCC